ATTTTAATTGGTCAATCAACAAATGGCATGGGTTAAAATTTTGTGTTCCCTCCTGTTAATTTTTGTGTTCCCAGAACAGTCTCTCCTGTTCCCCTGTAGATCTGCAATGTCCTGTGACTGTTAGTAATAATCATATTGACTTAACATATGACTAAATATTTTAGTCAGTTTAGCCAAGTGCTCATTTGAGTTACACAGCCAGCCTTGGTCTTCACCAGTGTTGTGACCCGAAACTCTGAGTTTAGGGAAACCCCAAAACAGAAACTAACAGAAATCAGTTTAGGTTAGTAGTTTATGTTTATGTTTAGGTTTAGGTTTAGTTTTCTGCTGCTTAGTAAGTTCATTTTCCAAAATGTTTCGGGAAGCCAAAAGAGTTTCTGGTCACAACACTGGTCTTCACACCCTCATTTGATAACCTTGCTGTGTAGTAAACCACCACCAAATTTGATATGTAACTTCTTTATCATATGTATCTGCTTTAAGAAAATTTTTAAGGCAGGTTGTTAATAAAACTGAAAATAATCTGACCCTCAAAGCCAAATTGTGTCCTTATATTCATATGTGTAAAGTTTTGTTTGATGCATCCAATTGCAAGCATAAGCAGAAATAAATGTCCAAATATCACATTATCATGAATATTTACAGATTTTTGATCACTTAGGTATGTCATTTATGATAAAATAATTTATTTTAAAAGTAAATATGATAAATAAATAGATTTTAAAATTTTTCTTAACAAGCAACAGTAAGGTGTTTTATCTCCGACTTTATTCATTTAATTATTTATCATTGTGATGTTATTAAATATAAGTTAAAACAAAAGAGGAATTTATATACATAAATAAATAATAAACATAACTATTGAATGATTGATAAAATGTTCATTTTTGTAAAACTTGCTTTGCAAGCTTCATAGATCTTGACCTTAACACTTAATTCGATCACTCCTATACAACTATTGAATAATTGATGAAATGTTTGTTAGTATATTTGCAAGCTTCATAACTATACATAAGTCAAAACTATTTCAACTTTGAGGTTTTAATTTCAACTTCATGTATAATGGTAACTATCATAGAGCAGTTACCCCCTGGTAGCTACCATTATAAAATATTTATGGCTGCCACAAATAAATGCAGCTGCAAATAGCTACAGCTGCTGCAAATTTTATTTTGCACAGTTAATGAATGAATGACTGATTGAATTCATCAATTACAATTCAAAAAAATATAGACCACAAATAATCCAAGAAAATTTTGCATGACTAATATGACTAATAATACTAATGACAGTAATTGAAAATTATTTGCAGCAGCTGTAGCTATTTGCAGTATTCATATTCATTTATGGCAGCCACATCTATTTTCAGCAGCTGTATCAATTTATGGCAACTGCATCTATTTGTGGCAGCTATAATTGTTTATGGCAAATGGTAGCTACCAACAGCTATTTATGCCAATGATAGTTACCAGCCTAATCATTTACAGCAAGTGTTTTTAGTTACGTAGAACAATTATATTGATATTCATTTTGATTATTGGTCAAATGTCAGCTTTGATTTATTTATTCCTCAAATATAAATTAATTAATTCAATAAAAATTATTTTGTTTTAGCAAATCTTGTTTCAATAAATTTTTAAAATTTTTTGCTTCACATATAAAATTCATTATTATGTGTCCCATATGTTCATTGAAATCTGACTCAATTCAATTCATTCAGAGACTTACTGCCAATATCTCTGATATAAAGAAGCATTAAAACTTCCAATCCTGGTGTTGTAAAAAGTTCAGGAGGCTTTAATGTACTTTAACTAGAAACTTCTAGTACCTTAAAACTTTATCATTTCCTTATTGACACACACCTATAGATCTTAAACATCAAGAATAATAATATCTGCATATTTGTCAGAGATGAATTCAAAGATATCACTTATGAATTTTATTATTTCTCTTTTATTTTTGTTTTTTCTGGCCCTTCATGGTTTTGTATTGCTTTAGTTATAATTTTTCTTTCTTTCATAAGTAATTCTTTATCTAAAACTCCTTGAATAGTTTTGATATCATTTATTTTAAAAACATAAGATACAATTTTTCATCTTGTTCCTTTTTCAACCTAATTCCAATGGCACTGTAATTTGGGTTCTATGATGGATTTTACATGGGGCAGTCCCATGTATGTAAAATATTTAAATGAGAATAACAAAAACAACCAAAAGTGAAAATGCTATTCAGGAATTTTTGAAAAATTCAAAGCATGAAATGAAAGAAAAAGTCTGCCAATATGGAAGTCCGGCTAATGAAAGCAAAAGCTAAAGTGAAACAAATTGAATAACTAAGAAAGGACAAAGCAAATGAAGAAGTCCAGAATTTCTATATTATAATTCCATGATCACGTTATATTTATACTAAACAATTTTAATTTTCTTTGTGATATTAATATTAATAACAATTAACAATAATGTTCACTTTGCTTTGTTGTAAAATTGTACGTCGTTATACAGGTTGGAGCTCGACCAATCCCATAATTTAAAAAAATAAAAAAATAAAATATTTAAATTTTTTCCAATAATAATAATAAATAAATTAAATGTCATGCTTTAACCCGGTTTTGTTACCAGAGTAAGACCTGGATTATCTCAATTGGGTCACTATTATGACATAAACAAAATTATCTTTGAAATTTCGCATACAACGATGATTTAATTTTTGTTGCATGATGATCAAAGAAACATTTTCTAAAGATTGTGGAGTTTTTTTTTCGTTTGAGTATATATGAAATTTTTTTTTATGCAAAATATAACTTTCAAATAGTTCTCTTATTAATTGCAAAATATTATGTTTTTATTAGCAATAATAAATTCAAATTTAAATTTTCCCGTAACCGTTTCTTCCTGCATTTTCTTTTTCTAGACTTGATGGGACAAATAATAATTTGAATAATCCAAAATCTGGTTCACTTATCTACGCGAAGTTCCCACTAATAAATATTTCTTTTGCAATCTTCCGACAAATGATATCTTCACCTGGAAACTGTGGCCTATTGGTGTTGGTTTGTTCGCTTAAATCTTCAAATCCCTTATCAAGATGTATAAGTGATAAAATTAATTTGGATTTTGCAGAATCTTCAAAGAAAAGTTTCTCGTGATAATTTTTTAGTAAATATTTATCTTTTAAGCCACATTCTGGAGATGGGAGTCATTTCTTAATTGTATCCTATTTTTAATTTGGCCGGTTAGAGGTTGAACAGTATCAAATTTTAAAATTAAAAAAAATTAATCAACTGATGCTTGTGTATGTGCCACTGTCAATATTTTTGTGAACTTGAGACTATTAATAGCAATAATACTACAATTTTTAATTGTTAATTAAATTGTCACCGGGAGTTGATGAAATAAAAGTAATAGATCGAGGATCAAACCGAATTAGGGTATTTACCGTATAGTAATAGTAATAGTATAATAATAAGATTTATAATAATAAAGGACCTTTCCTTTACCATTATTAGGAAATTTACATCAATCCCTTTATAATCGTTATATATTTCACCATGGTTTAACTCGTTACATTTGAAATTTACCTTGGATCTAATAGACAAATTGATCGTCAACTATTTGCAAATAATTGATCATGTCTTTAATCCAGTTACAGCTAGCAAAGGACTAGATGAAGTAGGAAAAAGCAACAAAGGGATTATTTTGAACAGAGACATTAGCAAATGGGCTCATAATAGAAAAATACTTATTAGGGCTATAATGGCTCCAAATGAATTGAAGTGTACAGTTAATCTTGTAAATAGTGTTTTTAAAAGATTTACAAATTTATTGGGATTCTTTAATATTAATTAACGAAATGGGAGAATCTATTCTAAATCAAGAAATTAATAAAAAAAAAAGCATTGAAAATTGAGCTTGTGCCATGGATTAAAAGAATTTTCATTGAAAATCTAATGTTATTAGCAACAGCAGACAAACTAATGTATTATTGAATTATTATAAAGTCAGTAAAAAAGATTTCAGTGTGATTAAAACTGCTAAGGATGAATATTTAGATAATTTAAGTTTTACAACAGAATGTATTAGGATTATATAACGTTTCCTTCATTTACACGTAATTTGCCATTGATAAATATTTATTTAAATTATATTTTGTTAGCTCGAGAATATATTTCCAATTTAATTAAAGAATCTAGAAATAGAATTGAAAATATTAGTGATAACAAATATAATTCAGAATATGAAGATTTAAGAAAATTTGAATACATTGAAGCTGTAAATAAAAGAAGGTTAATAATATTATTAATTTGTTATTATTATTATTATTATTATATTTTTTTTAACATAATAAATTTATCTATATTATTAGTTTTTACGTATTAGACCTATTATACCAACAATTGGTCGTGAATCAACAAATTTTGATCAGATAAGCGATTACAAAACTCCCAGCCCCAACACGACTAATGATAAATGTCCAAGGTTTACATATGAATTCAAATTATTGAAATGAACCAACTAAATTTAATCCTTAAAAAATAAAAATCACGACAATAGTAGTGAAGTTGTTGAAGATCTCTTGATTAAAAATACATTTTTATATTTTGGTGGTGGATTACGCATGTGTCCGGGAAGACATTTAGCAATGAATTACTGGTTTGCTTTATTATATAAAAAATATAAATTTGAATTGGTAAATGATAAACTTACACTTAGACAATCTATTAATGGTAGTCAATGTGGCTAATTAAAGGTTAATTAACTCAGAAATAAAATTAATAAAATTTATTAACATCTATATATTGAATATTATAATAAATACAAAAATTATTAAAAAAACATTAATGTATTATTAATTATATCACCCCCTCCACTCAATTAAAAATTAAAATTAATTATAATATAATTGCAATGAATGATTTAAATAATAATGTGTGTGATATTTATGTTGATATTATGGTTATTATAATGATTATGATTATGATTATGGTTATGGTTATGGTTATGGTTATGGTTATGGTTATGGTTATGGTTATGGTTATGGTTATGGCTATGATTATGATTATGGTTATACTCGACTTTTATGATACTGATCCAGTGTATTTTTGAATGGATCACCCACGATATCACCTCGGCTATCCCTTAACACAACTTCACCTTCATCCAATAATTCATTATTTGATTTTTTATATTTCCATACACCTATAATAGCACCTGCCACAATAAGAACACCACCAATTACAGAAATAGATAATACTACAGTTTTAGTTGTTGAACTACCGTCACCATTATCACTAATATTCTCGGAAGTGACACCACTTGGCGTACTTTTTGGACTTGGATCAGGATTTGGATTTGGATTTGGATCAGGATTTGAATTTGGATTTGGATTTGGATTTGGATTTTGTGTAGGAGCTTGATCAGGCGTTTTAGGTAATTCTGATGGAGCCACTGTGCTGGTTGAAGTTATAGTTATTGGTGGATCACTGGTTGTTGGTGGTGGCGCTGCTATTACTGCTGTAGATTTTTGAGTTACTAATACTGTAGATTCTTGCGTTACTTCAGGTGGTTGTGTTGATGTTACTACAGGTGTTGGGCTTGGGGGATCTGGTGTTTTTTCAGTTGGTGCAGGATCTTTTGTTGGTGCAGGATCTGTTGTTGGTGCAGGATCTTTTGTTGGTGCAGGATCTTTTGTTGGTGCAGGATCTTTTGGTGGTGCGGGCGCGGGATCCTTTGATGGTGCGGGTGCGGGATCCTTTGATGGTGCGGGTGCGGGATCCTTTGATGGTGCGGGTGCGGGATCCTTTGATGGTGCAGGTGCGGGATCTTTTGATGGTGCAGGTGCGGGATCCTTTGTAGGTGCGGGATCCTTAACAGGAAGAGCTGAAGTTTCTTTAGGATTTTTTTCTTGTGCATTTACTCCAAAATTACAGTTGCCATTAAATTGAGGTATTAATGTTGTTATTAATATGAAGGAAAGTAAAAAAACTGATATCAACGTTGATATTTTTTTCATTTCTATATAAATTGATCTAATCACTTATTAATCTTTCCTTTTTTAATAAAAATATCTGTATAGTTGGTGTGTATGTGTGTGTTGTGTTGGTGAATATTGTAAAGATAGATAGATATTTATGACTTTTCCAATTATCCAAAAAAAAATTCTAATTGAATGAAAAGAAAAAGTATTATATTTAATAATTAATTTTCAAATTATTTTTTTTTATTGGAAAAAATAAATTAAATATTGGAAAGAATTCCAACATTAGCAGCATAAATATATATATTTTATTGAGAAGATAATATTTGATAGCAAAAATAATAAATAAATTATTATTATTTGGTAAAGCTCACCTTGGAAATAAGGAAGTTAATTAAAGGTAATAATAAAGAATGAGAGTGGAATAAAAATAAAACAAATAAATTTTTAAAATAAATTGTCGAAGAATTTATTTTTTTACTATAAATATGGATTAAGCGGACAATACGTCACACGGGTACATATACAAGGCCGTAAGGTATGCTTGTGACACCAATTTCTCAATACTGCCGAAATTATAATTGTTTTCAAGGAATTCATGAATTCATCATTGACAAAAGGGAGAATGATATATTCTTAACACTTGAGATATATAGAAGTATTAATGTTGGAAATGGTAAGGTCTTAATATCTTTTAGAATATTTTTGTGATGTAGCGAACTACTAATAAACTAATTAAATTAGTGAAACAATTTTGAAATTAATTTAATTCGTGATCCTTTTAAGAAGGAAAGGATAGTGATCGGTGGAGTGCATATCTCTGGTTTCCACATTATATTACACTTATACTTTAAACAAATAGATTGACATACATACATATATAAACTTTTTTTCCTTGTGTCATTAAGGTAGGGTTATTTATACATTACTATGGGAAAATTGTGTTACTTTCCTTCTTAAAAGGGTCACGAATCAATCTTGTATTTTTGATATATATATGAAAAATTGTGAAACTTAAAAAGTTTTAGTAACTTTTTGGTCTTTGCTTGGAAAAACAGAGGAAAACAAATGCAAAATTAATACTTTAATAAAATAAAAATAAAGTAAATTTTATTAAATAAGTTTTGTTAATAAGCTTTTGAAAATAAAAACAACGTTGTTATTTTTTAATTCCTTCGCCGAAAGGTATGGGTAATCTTTTGAAACTATATCGTTCTGGGTAGAGCATTGAAATTATTGTTCTTCAACGAAGAATTTCTGGTAAACACAAGCTATAAACTTGCGCTGATTACATTTCTGCTCTTTGTACATACCGTCCGTCGTTACTGACGATTAGATGCTTGGTGAAGGTTTTCGGATGGGCGGTTGCTTACATGGAAATATTTGCAAACTGCTAAAAAGTCGCATTGAACCTAAAGACATTAAGGGAAGGAAAAAATTGTAACAAGCTATCCGTAAGTAAACCTGAGGAAGGATCATACTAATATATTTTGTTAATATAAAATTGTATTCAAAATTCCACGCTTTTTTTATAAAAGCACAAAGTATATATAATAATAAAGTAAGACAACTTTCGACAACGGGTCTCTTGGCCCTTGCATCAATGAAGAATGCTGCGAATTGCGACAAGCGGTGTGAATTGCAAGACGTGAATCATCTGGTTTTGAACGCATATTGCACTCTCTATTAATATGTGAATTATGCCTGTTTAGAGTCAGTAAATAACAATTGTCATAATCACTGATTATGGAATTGGACCTTAAAGTTAAAACAGTGAGCTTGTGATTTTTTTCTTGCACAGAAATGTACTTGAAGCTATTCTAAAGCCAAATTGTAACAATTGACGTCAAATCAGGAAGAACGCCCGCTGAACTTAAGCGTAATAAACAGAGGAAAAGAACCAACAAGGATTCTCCTAGTAACGACAAGTAAAAAAGAAAGAGCTTAAATTTTAAATCTGCCTCGCTTACAAGATCGAATTGTGATTTTAAGAAGCGTTTTCTTGGGCTCGTGGCTGTGGAGCACTTTTGTAAATCCTTTGCAGATGAATTAAATTTAGAACTGGATGTTGTAACAGTAAAGTAACCATTATGCTACGATTAATCCTTAAGATCTGTTTTCCTTTTTGGTGGTGTGTCTTCTCTTTTTGTATTAAATTTGAATTCAGGGAATCTGTAATCACATCTAATAAATAGATATTGCTCTTTTACAAAGCTCAAAGGCTTCTATAAAGATCCTTTTATTTATTTACTTATGACTGATACACACAATTGATCTTCATCCGTTTTTTAAAAAATTTTATATACTGTACATACATCTTAGCAGTCGTGGTCATGCTAAATAAACATGTGAAGTATTATCAAAAAAACCATATATATATAAAATCATCAGACGTATATAGTTTTAGTATGATAATGTGAGAACATACTGAAAGAAACCATCCTATGATAGACCACATAATCATTGTCTTATATCAGATACTTTAAAATGAGAGAGACCTCAAATCACTGATAATGCTGAATTTTAGGATCGGGTGCATCCGGGTTATGACAATGATCACCTGGGCGGAAGAAAAATAGTTAGCCTGTCCATAATAATAATATTTGTGGTTTTCTAAAATGCTAACTTATGATTCCTCTTGAACATAATATGTTTAAGTATCTATTACAACCAGTGCATGACATTTGCCATAATGCGAATTTAGTTGCGCATGTTTTTTGTTATTAAAAATAAATTTTTGTGTCATTATCTATATTATCTATTGATATCTACTTTGCTGATTTTTTATATTTCACCATTTCTCCAACTGAATTCCATACACTGATTACAACTATAGTTCTTAAAGCCATCCCCTAGGCATAATAAAGGTTTTCAGTTATTTACTTGTTTATTAAAATGTAATTAAGTATGAAAATTTATGATATATATCATATATAAAAACTGTTAAGGATTAAATATAACTTTGCGGGCATATTCTCTTTTCTCATTCTTAGCAGAATTACACGCGAACACTTGCCAATTCCTGCCACCTCTGTTCCATGTGAGCATCTTTTTCTGATGCAGAAAATTTGGTTGCCTCTAAAAGAACACGTTTAGAGCATGCATGAAGTAGCGAATCAGTTATAAGAAATAATTTATATTGTAAAGTTTGGGATTAATAAATAAAAATTCTTTTATCATTTGATCGAGTAATATTAAGCCCATATTAATATATAGAAAGATCCATCAACCACCCGGATGACCCGTGGGTCTGTCTGATGGGTGATCCGGTTAAGGTTATTTTGGACGAGTCCAATCTCTGCTGAATTTACAAAAAGATGTCGAGATCATATTCCTGAAAAATTGACCAACAGCTGAAGAAATCGATTAAAGAAAAATAGAGATTCTGAAATTAGCAGAAGCTAAACGACAACTAATTAAGCAAGCTGAATCATTAAATCTTTGTCAACAGAAATAGTTCTACAGTATAGTAATACTCGTAGTATATTTACTAGTAAGTAAACTTAGATTTAAAATGCGCTCATCCATTTTTTGTTTCCTCTTCATCAATTACAAATTTGTTTAGAAACATTTCTAAAATTTTAACAATCATAATTCTTTAGTTGCGACTAATTCTCAAGTATTTATTTATTTTATTTTAGTTAGTTTTACAAAATGTTAATTTACGTGCATCCGGAAAACAATAACAATATTATTCAAAATAAAGTTAATGGAGTAATAGAAAAATCCAATATGGTAATCAACTATTCAAAGCAAGTATTTTCAGAAATTATATACAAATTTAAAAAAAAATCAAATTTTTATGGCCTGAATGAGAATGATGGCACATGGAAGAAGTTTCAGTGAACATCGAATAGTGGGAGAATCTTGCCGTACAGGACCAATTAATTGGTATGTTTGATGGAATTAGTTTTTCCAGGATTGGTTGTGTTTTGCTATTCAATTATTACTTGTGAATGTGAATTTATTTTTATAAAGGAGCGTAGAGAGGTTGATAAGTATATTATTGAATTTATTTACAATTCAAATCACTGTGCCACGAATATTAATTTAACCAATCAAATCTATCAAATAATTTTATTATTATTATTTTTTAAAGGAAACAGTGAAATAAAATTATAATTAACTATTAATCAACTACTACTTCAATATAATAATGATTTTTATATGATACATGCGTGTTGTAGATATTATATGTATATGTGTGTATAGAGATTTAATGTCAATATTATAAAGAAATAATAATTAATTATTTCCCACAACAATCATTATCTATCAATAAATAAATTATTTACATTTAATTTCTAATTCTTTAGTTTCCATTTTATACTGTGTAAGAAGGAGGTCTTGATTTTGATGAGGAGGAAACGTCTTTTGCACCCAATTTACGTTTTTGTCTAAGCTCGACACCACCAAAGCATCCAAGAAGCAGATAAATTACCCCAGTGATAAAAATAAACCAACCCGGAACCAAAATAAAGACAAATAGACTTTGACCTAAAAATGATTCACTATTTATGCCACTATCATATCCGAGAATCAATGATCCAATCACCATTTGTACGAAACCGAAAAACGTCCAAGACTTGGTTTCATCAAGCATCGGGAACCAATAAAATATTCTTCTAGGCCAACCGAATTCTGTCAATATTAGAATAATGGATCCTATAGCAAATACGCAACGATTCATGAATTGAAATATTGTGTTGCTACGGCCCAAGTCTCGAAATCCTTTAACATTAACTAATATGCATGTTGCGATTACCAAGAGTAATGATATGATTGAAAACATGCGCAGCACGTTAAGAGCTATAAATGTTTTTGCTATTGCCATTTTGTTTGTAAAATTTATTTTTTTGTATAGTTGGAGATTTTGTTTGTGTGGATGTTTCGTTTACTGTGGGAAAAGTTAATTGAATATTGATTGATTTGATTGATTGATTGGTTATTTTATTTTTTTTAAAAAAAAAAAATAAAAATGTTAAAGAGCGAGTTTATAAAATTAATAATAATGATGTTATAATGAATGACTTTTCAAAAGTGAAGAACTTTTTAAATTTCCCAAAATCCATGATTAATTTATACTAAAATTGCACAATACACAATTAAAATTTAACACAAAACGATACAACGATGATTTCAAAAAAAGGTCACAAAGAAAGAAATATTACTATAATAAGTAGTAATCGGCCAATTGATTATACATAGAACAAGGATTTTTTTGAAACCTGAATTAGTATTATTATTAATATTAAAATATTTAATTTTTTGTGTTACAAATTTGAATTGAATTTGTTGTCCAATTAAAGAAAGAACCATGAAACAGCAAATTCATCGCCATCTTCATTGATAAACAATCTGGGTTTGAAACAAAGTAAATCAGAGTCTAAAATTGTAAATTGTTTGTTCATGCTTTTTCGCACTATTATTGTTATTATTCCTGAAACTTTTTTAAACTTTATTTCTCGAACTCTCTTTTTTTTGGGTAATTTAAGTTTTATACTTAATTGATTTAAAGATACACCGTTACCATTTATGGTATAATAAAATAATAAATGCTCCTAAAACCATTTAATCGTTGATATCTTTTTCTTCTTTCTCGCCTTCTTATCATTATCATCTCTTCGTAAATAAATTGATTTATAATTAATTAACATTAATCGTGATTTTTTTTTCAACAAACACTTTACAATTCAAAGAACGACGATGATTTATTATTATTAATTACACATATATTATTGAAATTTGCAAAAAAAAAAAAAAAAATCGAAGGAAATTCGAAAGAACAATATTTTCCATTGAACTAAAAAAATTGATATCATATATTATATTCAGAAAAAACTAATAGCTAATATTATGGTATATATGCTTATTCATCAGACACTACTATTTACATAAATACATTATTTCTAAAGAAAAATTTTTTTATTAAAAATCTAGCAATAACACCGAAAAATGAATCGTGAATTCTTTCTTTAGCTTTTAATTATTTCCACATATTCTGCTTCCAATCCGTCCAATTCGCCCCTTAATTCTATAACTTTATCTATCAAACCATGATGAAATTCTTTAAATTTTTGACGCGATCTTTGCGCTGCTTTTCTATTGAGTTCACGTCTTCTAGCAAGTTTTGGATCTATGCCCGTCTGTATTTTTCTGCCCCCTCTTCTTACTGATGGTGGTAATGGGGCTGGGGCATGAGAATGACTTTGAAAACAAGATCGAGATTGAACTTTCTGACTTTGCGCTTGAACTTGTACTTGAGAACTCGATGGATATTGACATTTAGCCGGGAAAGTTAAGCCGGTTGCTGGTAACAATAAAGACAATGAATCTGGTGGTGTTGTTGATTCTGAAGAAGATGACGATGAAGATGACGAAGTATTGTCATTACTATTTGAAATGAGTGACGGCGGTTGCGTTGCTTCTGGAGTAGATTCGTCTCTGATAATAGAAAGATCTTGAAAATTTTGTTGTGGAGGAAATGTCGGAGTAATTCCGTGTGAAATTGGTAATGATGCTTGAATTATTGATGATAATAATGTAGAGGATGAAGATGGAGAGAGAAGAGGATCTGATGAAGTTGATAATGCATTGTTCATTGAAAATGACATATCTTGCGTATTCTCCTTTTCTTTTTCGTTATCGTCATCATTATTATTTAAACAATCATAATTATAGCCATCGACAAGCGGAAGATATGAATCTTCTTGTGGCAGCGGTGGTCGTGACGACAGTGAAGGTGACTGTGATTGAATACGGTTAAATAATTGTTCTTGTAATTTGTGCTCGTATTGTTGCAAGTCTTTTAATAATTGTAATCCCAATTGTTGTTGTTGATATTGTTGGTTGGTAAGAAGCCGTTCTTGTAACTGTTGTTCAAGTTTTTGTAAATTTCGCAAGATTTGCAAATCTGTTTGTAATTCTAATTGTTGTTGAAGATGATTACGAGTAATAGAAAGGTTATAATTATTATTACTATTATTATTAAAGATATTATTATCATAATTTAAATCAAGGGTAGAATTTGGATTGGAATCTTGGAATAATGTAGAAAAATTATTATTGTCAATATCTGAATTATCATCATCATTAATGTTGATAATGGTGTTATTGTTAATAATGTTGTTAAGGAATTCCATTTTTATTTTTAAAGATAATTTAAGAAAACCAAATCAAAGAGTCTTTTTATAATAATTTATTTTAATAGGCTGATGTCAAATATTAATAAATTTTCCTTTATTTATTTGCTTTATCACTATGTTTTTCGATTTGTTTATAGATTATTATTGGATCGATGGATTTACTTACATCTTTATATTTTCATAATTTACAAATAAAATATAATTATTGTAAATATTTAATCTACTCACGTATTTCCCGTGTTCACAACCAACCAATCAATATCAATTGACATTAATACTTTTTTTTTTTGATATAAAAGTTTGGTAATTATGACAACTACAATGATGCTATTTTTTTTCGGTGCACGATGATGATACAATAATAATATCTAATTAATATATTATTTTTTAATTAATATAGTGAAGATTGTCATGATGGTGCACAAAAGTGCTAAAACATACGAAAACAACAATTGTGTTTAATAACAGACCTCACATTATTATTGTTGTTATTATTATCATTGGTCATTTTGAACCCTTGCAATTTATTGTATGACATTATGTACACTTTGTTTGGTTTTCCCATTATTTATTATTAATTAAATTTACACTACTTGTCTATTTTTATGCTAATGGAATTTATTGGTTTTAGCAATAACCGGTTAGTGTCACAATTATATTTCAAATCTCCGATAATAGTCAAAAAATATTTCAGGGATTTGGATTTTAGTGACCAACTACACAAAGTACCCTGACAACGTGATCTATCACAAACCTTTTTTACATTAATTTTTTTATCGAGGTCTCTCTCCCTAATCTCTCTCACATCAATTTTTTCATCAATAGTAATAGGAAGGAGTAAAAAGAGACAGACAGGCAGACTACAGTATTATTTTTATTTTGCATTTATCACATGGCAAAGAAATCATCAAACATTAAAATATTCTATTGTTTGTGGTGTTGGCTTTGGCAATTCATATCTATCGCATCCAAAAATTTTGCATTTAGCAAGGTTTCATTGTTCCCCCAGAAACTCGACAAATATTTAAAATGAAAACGATTCATCATTCCAAAAGAGCAACTTGATATTTTTTCATCCTGAATTCTAGAGGAAGAAAAGTTTTGGCCAAATTATCGTATCAAGCATAACAAAAGGAACCCGTGCTGATCCCATATCCAATATCCTTTTAGAATGGAGAGAGCGACGAATAATTCGATATAACTCGATATAATTCATGATCATCACTGTTATCATCAGGGAGCCTTGCTTAACGAAAACTATTTGTTCGTATAATTATGATATATTTATTTCAGAATTTTTAGAATTTACTTGATTCCTAATAATAACAAAAAGGGTGCTTTAATTTTTAAATCGCAATTAGCCATGTTCTTGATGAAAATGGACTGGTAAGAAAAGGTCCCAATAGTATATTTGGCATCATCTCTAATGGAATTAAGGGATTGAATAAAGGCGGTGGGTGGGTGGACAAAATAAAATTTTTTTATTTTTAATCCCCGAAATTATATTGTGATAAATGATAATGATGATGATGTGTTGAAATTTGTTTGGTCTGTTAAGAACACAACTGGTGTGTAACCATCAAAACTTATATTAAAGTTACTTTTTTAACAAAAAAAAATTTTTTTTCTTCAATTAAACTTTTTAAGTTTTTTTATAACTTAAACTTTAAAAAAACTAATTTAAAACAACAATGGGTAAAAAAACCAATAAAAAAAATCAACAATTAAATTCCACCGACAATATAATTCATAAATCACCACCAACCCCACCTTCTTCTCAAGCATCACAAACAACATTGGTTAATGGAAATTCCACTGCTTCAGATAATAGTAAAAAGCAACATGATAAAGAAATTGAGCCTTCCGCTTTTAAAAGTAATAACAATGGAAAAGTAAAAAAATTCAACACCAATACTAATACTAATACTAATACAAATACGGATAATATGGAAAAGGTAATAAATTATTCAATAATGTCATTTTAAATATTAATTAAATCTAATTTATTTCTTTTTTCTTTTTTATTTAGCCATCAAAAAAAACTCCAAAGAAAGTGAAATCAAAAGTAATTATTGTTTTCACATTTCCATTTCTTTCGATTTTTTCCCTCATCAAAAATTAATACTTATCATATTTTTAATTTTTTTTAGAAATCATCAAAATCAAATTTTCTTGTCAACTTTTTCTCATGGAAAAAAATATTACTAATATATATCTTTGGTGTAATATTTGGTTGTTACGAGAAAAAACGTGAAGAATGCTCCGAGATGGGAGAATTGTTTTGTTTCAACGGTTTATCTCAATACATCTTAAAAAACGATTGGTTTAAACATTACGTTGAACCCGGTATCATTAGATTAAATGCTGATGCAGTAGTATATACTAATAAAGCTCATGAACTAATTTATCCACATTATGAACTACATGCAAAACCTCATGTTGACACCTATATAGAAAAATCTCGACCATACTTGGAACATACTAAAGTTTGGACTACAGAAAATGTTTATTCACCAACCAAGGATACTCTTCAAAAATCATTCGTAAAAGTCGGATCACTTTATAATCAACATGCAAAAGAACATGTCAACAAATATTATTATAAAACAAAAGACCTGTTAACCATCTATATAAGCAAAGTTCAAATCTATGTATTGAAGGCTTATGAATCGTCAATAAGTTTCAACAATAAAAAAGTCCAACCTTTTTATCGATCGGAAGTTAAACCACGTTTGATTGCATCAAAAGTTAAAGTTGTTGACTTTTATAATCATAAAATGGTCCCATTCGCTAATCAACGTGTTGAAGATTCCAAATATTTAATTAATAAGGTAATAATACCTGCTTATCATGATCATGCCGAACCTCATATATTACAAGTAATCAAAGTTGTCAAAGAGTTTATTGAAAAAATGAAACAACAACTTGCTGAATTGACTAATCCAGACGATAAAAAAGTTGCTGAAAAAGCTGCCGCCAAAGAAGCTGAAAGAAAAAGTAAAGAAGAAGCAAAACTAGCTGAAAAAACCCGTAAAGAAGCAGCAGAACAAGCCGAAAAGAAACGTAAAGAAGCAGCAGAACAAGCAGAAAAGAAACGTAAAGAAGCAGAACAAGCCGAAAAGAAACGTAAAGAAGCAGAACAAGCTGAAGCAGCAGCAATCATTGCAACTAAAAAATCTATTCATGAAACAACCAAAAATCTGTTACCTATTCTTAAACAAAACCTTGCAACACTACTTAAAAATTACGAGAATAATTCAATCAAATTAAAAACTGAAAGTGAAAATGACATCGACTCAAAGGTTTCAACATACAAAACATTTTGTGATGATCAAACCTCCAAAATTGAAAGTGTTCAAGATGATAAGGAAAGTACCGACTTCAATGAGAAAATCAAACAAATTCTTAAAAATGTTAACGAGAGAGGACGTGAAACAATTGTAGGCATATCATTACCATTAAAGGCTTTTAATAGTAAATTAAATGAATCTGATGACCAATTTCGTAATGACAAATCAACACAAATTGAACAAACAAAGTCAAAGATTTTTGAAACAGTGAAGGCTAATAACAAGAAATACGTTGACGATGAATTGACTAACTTTGTTCAACAAGAGATCAATACAGCTTCAGTAGAGGTCGATCAAAAATTTCAAAAAATATCTTCAAAAATTAATACTAACGATAAGGTTATTATTGAAGATAAAATAAATTCATCGAATGAGAAAATAAAAGAGTTGAGTAGACAAGTTTTAGAATTTGGTAAAAAAGTAAGAAATTTAATCATTAGTAGAAATAACAAAGAAAAAAGTAAAGTGGTTGATAGCACTACTCCTAGTAGTAAAACCGTCAATAATAAACAAGAAGAATCAGAAACAACTCCCAAATCAAAAGTAGAATCACCACAACTTTTGGTTCAATCACCTGATCTTGTTTTAAGTACTTTGAAAAGAAGATATGATCCTATTTTATTAAAATTAAAAGAAAATTATAAAAAAATAACTAATAATGAAAAGGGAGGAGAAGAAGAGGATGAGGAGGAAGAAGAAGAAGAAGAATATGAAGAATATGAAGAAGAAGATGATGAAGAAGAAGATGATGATGAAGAAGATGATTATGATGAAGATAATGAAGATGCTGAAGATGCTGATGAATACGTAAATGACAAGCAAGAAACTGGAACAAATGAAAAGTAATACCGAATGGAGGAAAAAAATAATAAATAATAAAATGAATAATAAAATAATAAATAATAGATATTAGAATAAATAAAATAAATAAATATTATTTAGATATTTCTTTTCGTCAAAATAAAAATACTTATATTGTTGAATTTAGAAAAAACTTTTATTATATTGATGATAATAAATTTTTTTATATATAAATACTTTCTTTTTTTATATTTTCATTTTTTTTTTTTTATAACAATTATTTATACATAATTCCACATCTTTTTTTGCATTGATTATATTATTATCATATTAATTTTCTTTATTAAATATTTTTTTTTTTTGTAATAATTTTTTCTTTTTAAATTATTAAATAAATTACAATGTAAGTAAATATCTATTTATCCACTCGTTAACAAAAAAAAACTTGTTGATTAAATCAAAAATTGCCACCAAACCTTTTTACAAGTTCATCACTGTATAATCTCTTAAATCCTAATCTATAACAGCAAAATAAATACCCTCTTGACTGATCCATTCAGAATTTTTATCATTCCTTGAACTGCCCACAACTTCAATATGTCCGTGAATGGGGTTGCTATAGGTGTGATCACGATTTGCTGATAAATATCGGCCTGTTTCAACATGTTGTAAATAAATTTTTTCTTCTCGATTCCAATGTGTTGATGATTTGTTTGTACAAATTATCTTCCAATTATCACCTATATATAATGAATTAATTAATCAATTGGAGAGAATTGATGATGTCGTGATGAGGTAGAGGAAGGAATAGAAGGAATAGAATGGAAAGAAAGAAAGCAGGAAGAAGAGAAAAGGGGTGGGAAATGACGTTATAATTTATTTATGTACCAGAATCTAAACCATCAAAAGCACTAATTTCTTGTTGATTTGATAAAGGTGAACGGTGTTGATGACTATGTAAAAATTTATTTGTGCCGGCATGTTGTAATCTAATAATTGAATCGCATAGAATTGCTTTTCTAACAATATAAAAAAAAATGTTTCTTATATTATTTTTTTGCTTCAATTTTTCCATTGTTTCATTTTTATCTTTCCATTTTTTTCTTACAAGCATAAAATAATGGTAACAGTTACCCTCTATGACAAATATCTCCATTTGCAGCTTTCACAATCCACAGTGACTCAGGATCATCTGGCAATGGCAACCCTGTTACACCTTGTTGACCAGATCCGGTTCCTAAAACGAAAAAAATAATTATAAAGCGAATGAGTGATTTAATATAATTAATGAAAAAATTGGTTTTTGTCCAAAGAATCTTTATATTTTACCATAAACTACTTTTTTTTCTGAATGTAATTTAAAATTCGATGAACTGTGCGTTAGTTTTATTGCTGAACCACATGTTACTTTTTAAATTGATTAAGAGCAATAGTTTGATTAATTGGTTTCATTATGGAACTTTGGAGAAAATATAATTTGTTCAAATGATAAATTTTCCTTTTTTTTTTTTTTACCTCTTTCAAATTCTTTATTTTTCGAAATAAAAATAAATAAAAATTCAATTAATTTTAATTTTGTTTTTCTTAACAAGCCTCAAAAAAAAAAAATCTTTTAAATCTTTTAAACCAAGCCTCCTACCTCCAACCAATTTTTATTACTAAAACAAACTCAATTACCTTCGGAAATGTCTAATGCTTGACTTTTTACAATCGATATACTATTGATGATGATAATAACTAATATGATTATTATACTTTTAATATTGTCTAATTTATAATTCATTTTTCTAATATGTTTTTTTTAAAAAAAAAAATTGAAATTTGTGAAAATTTAATTGGAATTTGTAACAAGAACACTGCAATATGTTACACAAAACATGTTGCTCACCAAACCATGTCGACTGAACAATAATAAAGAATCCGGGCTAGTGATTAAACATTTTAATTTATGAAATGGTCTGTACGGAAGGAATCTGGATATTCATCAATTATAACAATGACTACTAGGAATCATCCTTCTTGTCCCAGTGACAATAGGGAGGACAGGTCAAAGTTTTTTGTACAATTTTTTACTTGAAATTGGAACAACTTGCTTTCCAACAAATAAGCCTGAAATTATATAGTAGATGCATTTTGCTTGATTAATAATAATAATAAAAAAAAGGATTGCTATATGTAACAATGATTTTCAGGAAATATTTATAAATTAATTCAGTAAATATTTTTTATGTAAAGAAAAACTATTAAAATTTTAAACAGTTCATTATATAATGCAGATTTGGAGTGTTGACCAATTTGTCCAGAATTCACATTTATTTTTGAGCTTGGCATAATCACATTTTTTTGCTGCACCACACATCTATTTCCAGAGAATGGGCTCAAAAGTACTTTCCCAAAATCCCTTTATGTCTTCAAAACAGCCACATTTAAAATATTCAACACAATCACCAAATTTCATCTTGTTAAAATAAAAGCAACATAGAACTGATATTAAATCATCATTTAGCTCAAAAACAAATTGGTCAAAACCATCAGACAGTAGACCCAAAATTCGAGAAGCATAATGGTAGGTACCAAAGTATGTGTTCAGAGTATTCATTCATCCTACTTGTTTTAATTCTTTTATAAAATTTCATCTTCTCCAAGTTTGGGCTTGGATATTACATCAAGGAGACACATTTGTAATTGACTAAATGCCCATGTACACTTAGGCCATTAAGCATGATATACTTTCCTTTTGACAAATTAGATCGTAACTTAATTTGTGTTGGAACCCTTGGATTGTATTACCTTGATAATGCGGGTGGTGGTAGCATCAAGATAAAATATACGTTTTTTATATATATTTAATAAAATATTTTTTGGGTGCTATAGTTTTATAATTCATCAGTCATGCGATATTGTCCTATGTAATGAGAATGTTTTTGCATCTAAGCTACAAGAACTGCTAAAATATTCGAATCATATGTTGAATCAAGTTGGCCTGATCCCACAACGCAATTTATTGGACTATGTCCATGCATTTAAAATAGAATTGCAAAAAATTCAAGTCATTTATCCATATTAATATATATGTCAAATATGTCTCACAAATCTAGAAATAATAGGCGAAAAACCCAAGGTAGATTCACCGATAATCCTAAACAGTATATACAATTTTTAAGTACATGCGGTGATCACATAACTATCATAGATAAGAATACGCAAGATGTGAAAGCGATTTTTAATTATGCAGATATTTAGAGGTAAATAATCTCAATCCGAATATTCTCAGCCATGCTTAATACTACTATTAATTTCATCATCCCTTTTTTTCGTATTTCATAAAAATTTTCCACTAACATTTCCAAAAATGCAACCTGAACACTTGTTGACGATGGTCATGTTTGTTCCATTTTGGAGTCTGAAATCGGATATGTTAATCTAATTAATTAGGTTCTATATCATCAAACAAGGTTACAACTGAGAACGCAATGTGAGCTTTTGCTTTTTGTGTTACAAAACACGCATACCATGCTACGCGAGAATAAAAATTCAATTAAGTTGGGATTTGCGTCTTCTTTGTCGCAAAGAGCGAAAAAATGACATCGTTCGGGCCAAGACAATAGTCTATTTTATTAAATTCGAAACATATGAATAGGACAGCCGTCCAAACTTTTTTTTTTCGTAGAGAAATTCCTCTCAAGCCATTTCAGCGCACGGAACTCACCTTCTACGTTCGGTCACATGAAATAATTGTCGTTATTATTATTATAGAGACCGTTCTGGTAACACAAAATTTTAACCCACGCAATTGTTGATTGATTGACCAATTAAAATCGTGAATTTAAAAATAAAACATTTAATGTG